TGCAGCCCGTCTTTATTAGACGGCTATACAGCTGTACAGCGAGGGCACGGGGGAGCGCGACACCGCGCTTCCCGGGGACACCCACCCCCACCCCCCCGTGCCCACACTCCCCGGGAGGAGATGAGGACGAGTGGCTCGCCATGCACATGGGACACCAACGACACAAGCACAACATGCGGCAAGGACTCCTGCCAGCTCCCGCCCGGCCTATCCCTCCTGCCAGCCCAGGGAAAGGCCCCCCCTCCCTGCCCCAGAGCACTGCCAGCCTTCGGCAGCTCCGCCGGGAAGCAACCCCAGCGTCCAGCAGCTCCCGGGGAGACTCACCTCCCTGCAGAGGAAGCCACGGGAAAGCTTGGGTTCCTGGGAAATTTGCTTTCAGTTTCCCTTCACCGAAGCAGCCTAAAGGCGGAGCTGCTGTGGGGTCGTTGGAGCTGCTCCTCCGTGGAAGGACCCCAGTAGCACCCAGGTCCGTGGACACCCCTCCCCTCTCACTCCTGACCCCAGCAGCAACGAGCTGATCCTCATTCCCGAGCTCTGCTTTAGCACACTCCCTTTGGTCTCCTACAGACCCCAGAGCAGTCGCAGCACTGGTCTTGTCCCTCCTCATCGTAGCAGAGAACCCACCATCCCACAAAGACCCTGCCCCTCCGTGAGCACCCCAGACCTGCTCATGCCCTGGCTACCCGGGTGCAGGTACCGCCAGGAGCAGGCGGCTCAGCAGCGTGCAGCCGGCCCAGGCTCAAAGGGCAGAGGGCGATATCCCTGGAAGGGGAGGAGAGGCGGCCATGGACTCCCGGAATGGCAGAGGAGAGCCTGCGGTGCTCGTGGAGGGCATGGCAAAAGCAAGCAAGGGGAGGGAGCAGGAAAGCAAAGCCTGTCAGGGGTTAGCCGGGATGCAGATCCTCACAAGCGGCCACTGGAAGAGAAGAGAGGGAAACCAGAACGACGGTGGGAAGGTCTCGTCTGAGGCCACGCTGCACAGCCGGCATCCTGATCTCCACCACCACCACCACCACCCCATGGCCAGGCTGGGGTTTGCCTCTCCCTTCTGGGTTCAGGACACCCCTCCTTGGCCCCCCCCAGGCACAAGCCATCTGCTCGGTATAGGGTCTCCACAGCAGCCAAAGCCATGTTGCAAGCAAAAGGATGGTTTTAGGAGGGAAGGAGGAGCTGGGAGTCCCCAGTTGAGATGTGAGACGCACTGAAGCCTTTGCTTGGGGAAGAGGAAGGGCCCCGTACCACAGAAACGGCAACATCAGAAAGACAGACCTGATGCAGCACAGCCTGGGCATGGGGAGAAGACCTTTATCATGCCTGGGGGAAGGGAACCAATACACAGAGCACAAGACCTTCAGGGTGGGCTCCAAGGGGGCTGCGAACACTCCCGGGAGACGCCGAGCTGCCCCACCTCGGGGTCCCTTTGGCACTGCAGGAGGGCCTGCTAGCAGCCCGCATCCCGTGAGCGCTGTGCACAGGAGAGGATGCTGCTGCCCTAGCCCAGAGGTACGGCACAGAGGCTGTCAGCTGGGAGGGACATCAGGGACCTGTACCCTTCCTTCTGTGCAGGGGACAGGCCAGCTGTTGTGAGAGTCGGGGAAGAGCTGCAGCATCCCCAGATCCCAGTCGGAGTTGTTCCCACCAGCTCTAGATCCCACCCCTACCCCTACCCACACCAGCAGCAGCCGGGGCCCGTCCCTCTGCAGGGTGCTGGGGCAGAGGGGTGGGTGACTGCCCCACTGCTGACCAGCTCCGGGCTGAGGGGGACAGCACTGGTCCTCTCTGGGAGAGCGAACGTGGTCCTGGGCACCTCCCCAGGGCTGCAGGCAGGGCAGGTGTGGTGCTACTGGCTGAGCTAGAGCCCCCTCAACAGCTCCTGCCTTCATTTTGGAGGCAGGTCCCAGCTCCGGGTGGACATCTGGAGCTGGTGCCATCTCACATCCCTCTGAACAGCAGCTGTTGCTGCCACCTCCAAGCCAGTTCACAGTTCCCCACCGCTAGTCCGGTCACGTCAGCTTTCGCAGGCTCTGCAGCGATCCTCCGACACGGACGACACAGATGTGAACACAGACACATGTATGTACTCACACACGCATTCACCCCACAAGAGTCAGAGTGGCGTTGACTTGACACATGGCTGGACACAAGGTGCCACCACAATGCCGCCGGCCTGGCAGTTTTGTCTCTTCGGCAATTGATGGCAACAAAATGGAGCCCAGGACTATCCTGTCCACTCAGGACGGGAGAATAATCAGGCTGACGCCACATCCTACTGCCCAGGCGGCTCCCAGTCTGCAACCCCCACGAGATCCCCAGTCTACAAGGTTATACCTGTAAGACAGAGAGGGGATGTAGCACCTATCAGGACCATCCTATGTACATGTTTCTCCTTGCAGCCACAGCCTTCACCCCTACCTTGTGGATCTGCGGTGGAAGCTCATCCTCTGAGCTCTCCTCTGGCACGGGCTCTGGGTGTCTCGCTGACTGCCCGTCCTCAGCCCAGCCTCCCAGAGGGAGGCGGGAGAAGTGTGATGGGGCTCTGTGTACTGTGCCCGGGTCTGCAGGAGAGGCAAGGAGGAAGATTAGTTTCCTGGGGGACTGTCAGTCTCCAGGGACAGGCAGACTGCTTGTGCCAATCCATACAGGGCATCGGTTACGGGGCTTTGACCTCTTCCCAGGCTCCCGTACCTGTGATACCACCGTATCGCCGCTGGAAGCCGGTCTGCAGCGTGGCCGTCTCCTCGGCAGGCTGCCGCGGCGAGGCAAAAGGGTAGCTGGCAGAGCGAGGGATGGGGACGGGGGCACCCCGCTGAGCATCCAGCTCCTCGTGGGCGCTCTCCCCGCTCTCGTCACTCTCTCGCCGGTGCCAAGTGTGCCGCTCGGGCTCCAGCTGGGCGTGCTGCTTGTGCAACTGCAGGCCAAAACACGAGTGAGTCAGCTGCGTGGGAGAGCCCAGACGCCTGAACACACCCTCTCCCCAGCACTGTACACACACTGGTCTCAGCTCTCACTCACACTGGTATCCCAGTCACTCCAGACAGGGCACCCCAGTCCTGTTTGCCGTGGCCCCACGCTGCTCTGGCTGGCTCAGCTCCAGGCTGCTCACCTCATGCATGTAGAGTGCGTGGAGACTCATCTCGGTGGAGGCGTACTCCGACAGGATCATGCTCTGTAGCTGACCCTCCCAGGCGCTGCTCCCCGAGCTCACGGTCCTCGCATCGGCACTGCCATGGGACACACAAGTGGCGTTTGCTGCCCAGGTGCCCCACGCACCACCCAGCCCCTCTCCGCTCTAATGTCAGGCTTGCAGAGATCCACTCCTGGGCTGGGCAGAAACAGGCCCTCTGTAGCATCTCCCCAGGTGCACAAGGTGACCAGCCCTGTGATGGCACTGCCTCTTCCCTACCAGGGGCTTCTCACCACTGTGGTACCCACAGGAGAACACCAGAACCCCAACACTGTCATTTGGGGCCAGCCTAAACACCTGGGCCTAACTGCTGATGAATGTGTCCCTTGCTCTCCCAGGCTGCAGAGACAAATGCCACTGTGCACCCAGGACAACAGGATGGCAATCAGAAAAGAGTTTAAGGAATTGGCAAGGTGTCCGGCTGCCCCTCTCCAGCCTGCAGCTTACCCAGAGGCCGTCATGGCACTGGCGCCCCGAGGCTGGGCTCCCTCTCCATCCCTTCCAGCCGTTTGGAAGCTGCTGGGAGGCTGCTGGGCAGACTGGAGCGGTGAGAAGGAACGTAGGGCCGAGGCCACTTCGGAGAGATGGCGGGAGCCCTGTCCATCCCGGCCCATGTGGAAGCCCAGTGCCGATGAACCCGCTATGACGTTGGCAATCAGGCTGTGAGGCTGCAGAGTTGAAAGGGAGAGAATTACTGTCCTGTGCAGACCTGGAGGGCTGATCCCCACCAGTGACATAGAATTGTGGCACCCCAGCTCTCTCAGCCCCTCTCCCACCTCACAGGGCCCCAGGACAGCCTGCTGCCTTCTCTAGAAACCCAGCAGCAGTCCCAAATAGTGCTGATATATCACATTTGCATCCCCAAATACAGCCGAGGCAAGGGCAAAATTGCCCAGATTATCAGTTTGCCAGCACCCAGCAAACACCCCAAGAACACCTCACATCCCCCCCGAGCCTGGGCACCTCTGACTCCGACTGGAGGGACTGGATGGAGCTGAAGAGGGCGTTTTCGGGGAGCACAGCCTGTTGAGCCAGCGCCACGCTGCTGTCTCGGTGCACCCGCTCCTTCAGGAAGCGGATGAAGGCCGTGCTCTCGCGGGGTGGCTGCCACTTGGGGTTGGTGATGGCAAAGTGCATGAGGGAGAGCTCCGTCTTGCCATCTTCGGCCTGCTGGTAAATGGAAACTTTCCTGCAGACATCCACTGCAGAGCACAGACAGGTAATGAGGGACAGGATCTGCTTTACACCCGTGCGAGGCTTGGGAATCCTGCAGGCAGGGCAAAGCACGCAACACCCAGCACAAGCTGGGCCACAGCTCCACGTGTAGCAGGCGCTACACCAAAAGCCCCACACTAGTTCAGCCCTCACAGCCTGGGGAAGAAGCAGCAAGTACAGCACGTTCCACCTCCACCCTACAACATGCATGGCTGCAAGGGAACCGGAGAGACGGGGACTAGTCCCAAAATACAGAGCTGAAAGCCTCGTCTTGCACTCTCCAGCTTGTAGCAGGAGCGACTACAGCCAACAAATGGCTGTCCTTAAAAGTTTCCTGCCGCAGTGAGTCCACCCCTGCCCTAGTTCATGGCTCTGTCACTAGGGAGTCTTTCCTGTCAAGTAACCTAAATTCCCCGGCACAGGAAATAGATGGATCTCCTTTCCCTCCACACTAGATTCTACATAATGGAAAATGCTTCCCATCTCCCTGAGGCAGCCTCTCTCCTGGGCAGAAGCAGCCCAGCTTCTTGAAGTCGGTTCTCAGTGGTTACGCTTTCTAAATGTTCAAATATCCCGATTCCTCTCTCCTGAGGACACAGGACTCTTGGTTGTGAAGGCAGGCGAGGACATCAAATAAAGGAACGACAAAGCCTGGTTCACAAAAGATGAGGTTAATAATCACAGCTGGGCCTCAAGAGCCTTCTGGGGCTGATGGCCTGTGTTGGCAACCGCAGATAGCCATCACAGAGGGAGAGGTAGGTGGCTGGGCTGTGGGCTGCCATGAGCAGCAAGTTACAGCCTCTCCTGTGTCTAAAGGACCAGACGCGCTGGTGGGGAGCCCAGGCTGCTCTCCCGCCACCCACGGGACCTACCGCCGGGTGGCCATGCTGGCGCACGTCCATCTGGGCAAAGGAGCAGGTGTCACCCACGCCCACCACCTCCACGGTGAAGTTGCGGAAGAAGTCAACGATGTCCAAGGACTTGGGACGCAGGCAGATGATGAGGATCAGAGGGGTAATGATGGGACTCAGGAGCTCCTCCAGGATGAAGACCTGAACACAGAGATGATGGGCTCAGCGCAAGCTTGAGGATGTCAAAAAAAACCCGCAATCCCGAAACCAGCCCCCTGCTCCGGCCCATCTTCTGGGGCAGGGTGACTCTGAGAAAGCTGCCTTGTTCCTCTGCCAGCCCAGGAGCTGCTCAGCTCTGCGGCAGCTTCTTCCACCTGCAGGGATGGGGGTGAGCGTCCATCCCAACCCCTTGCAAGACAAGCTCACCGCTTTGTACTGGAAGAGCTGGGCAAACTCGTCCCTGGTCTCGTAGCGGTGGGCATTGCCCTGCCAGTGGTCAGGCATGTAGTGGATGTGCGCCAGGATGACTCGCAGCAGCTGTTCTGGGCAAAACACCAGGTGCTGGTCAGGGATGAAAGACCTGTAGAACAGGACAGAGAAACATCACAACATCACACCGCAGTTCCTGGGAGATCTCACTCTGGGAAGGCAGGGTGACCAGCCCGTATCACAGCTCCACCTGTAGCCTTCATGCCCAACCCAAACCTTCCTGCCAGCCCAGCCCTGGGGTGTTGCTGTATAGCTCCAGTAACACCCCTCATATCATACAACCATGGCACCCGAGATGATCACCACCCCCCTTTTCTCCTGCCTGCCCCTGACTCTCCCCAGCCATGCCCTTTGAAGGGCAGATTCACGTCCACTTGCAACCAAAGAGCATATCTGCACGGATGGTTGTCAGCCCCAGGGCTCCCCACAATCCTTCCAGGGGTACGTGGGCAGCACAGACCAAGCTCACCTGCACACTGTGATGCCCACCCCAAGCAGGGTGACTGTGGTCAGGACGTGCTCGACCGCCAGCACGTCCTCATCATAGATGGTGAGAGCGATGAGCACAGCCAGGATGGAGCCAGCAAAGAAGGCCACATTCTTGGCCACGATGGTGAGGAGCGGGGAGATAAAGCAGTTCATGTACTTGGAAGCTGGCTTGTACCCCTTGCTGAGGCGTGAGTGCAGTTCGTGGTCCAGCTCGTTGAAGTGACGGAGGTAACAGCGGCCGTAGAGAGACCAGCAGCGGGCACCCAGGCTGCCCGGCTCCCGCTTCAGAATCTCTGTGTAGCTGAAGAAGGCGTAAAGGATCTGCCAGATGAGGATGAGGGGGCAGAGGAGGAAGTTGGCAATGCCAATCAAGAGGATGCGAGTGCTGAGCTTCTCAGCCAGCTCCAGGCGGTTCCCAGCCCGCTTGTACTCGGCCTTCAGACTCCACTCATTCTCAAAGAGGGAGCCGGGCCCCCAGAAGAAGATGAGCTCGAAGTTGTACTTGAGCCCCCGCGTGTAGAATACAGTGTCTCCCAACAGGGGCAGGCGGAAGCGGATGGGCAGCAGTGACTTATTCACCATGGCCACCATGTAGTTCTTGAAGCGGAGGATGCGGTGGTAGATGTCCAGCTCTGTCAGCTCCTTCTTGTGGATGCAGATCTGGTGCTCTTTCTGGATCTGCACGATGCGGGCCTGCACCTCCTGCCAGGTGTAGTACGGCAGGGTGGACTGGAAGGGGGCAAGCAGCAAGGTTAGGGACAGGATGTGTCCAGGGACGAAGTACACGCAGCACCAGGACACAAGGCACCTTCCTGCACCACTTCAGCCTGCAGCAAACAAACCCCATACCTCGTCCCAGTGCCCTTTACCCCGAGATTAGTGCCGATGACTGTTTCCCAGCCGCTCACACACCAGCTGCCTTGGAGGAATGAACACAGCTCCAGGCTCCCATGGGTCCTCCCAGAGCTGCCATTTGGACTCAGCAGGGAGACACAAACAGTGGAAGGGACTTAAGCAGTGTCACAGAGGGAGCCTGTGGAATAGCTGGGGACAAACCAAGCCTCTTGGCTCACCCCACCTTTCTCAAGACACGGTCTCTCCTCAGAGGATGCACGCATACCTTTTGATGCTGTGCATCAGAGCAAGGACTCTGGACTAGGATATACGTGCAAGCCTCAAACCCCATCTTTGACACACCGATCTCCAGTGTGGTCTTCACCAACTAGGCAGCTCCATGCCTCAGTTTCTCCCCCCTAGTAAACAAGGAAGATGACGTTGCCCATAACCCAGGGAGGTATGAGAATATCCTCACTTATGCCTTCTCTGTTGAAGGGCATCACAGAAAAGGCCATCGCCGAAGAATAAACATATTGGGTGGCAGATGGCAGAGGCACGTGCCAGCAGGCAGAGAGGCAGGCTGGGCAGAGAGGGGTTAACATAGAATAAGTTGGCTGCTGGAGAAGAGGCTGAAAGGAGACCTGTTCGGTTATGGAGCAGAGGGAAGAGCCCTCTGGTACAAGTCTCTCAGAGAAGCTGTTCTCCAGAGAGGAGTGAAGGTGTTTCTCACCACCCAGTAAATGCCTTCTGCGTCCCTTAGCAGCCCTGCAAGCAGCCCTTGGCCCAGCTACTTACCATGGGGATTTTGAGGGCATTGATGTAGAAAGAGTGAATCTCCCAGTAGCAGCAAATGTTGTAGATAAATTTGACGAGTCGGTGGATCCAGAAAACCCCAGCTATCACCAAGATGCAGATGAGGAAGCTGTTTGCCTGGATTCTGCAAGCAAGAAGAGGCAAGTAGTGGGAGACAGGCCCGGGCAGGTGCCCTGAGTACCTGAGAAATTAAGAGTGGTGGCTAACATGCCCTCCGCTACTCCTACCTTGCACTGCAGACATTTGGAGGCAGGAAGGCATCTGGCAGAGTCACTTTAATGGGCTCACTGGGATGCTGGCTGTGATTTACTGCTTTGTTGGCAAAGAGGATGTCGTAATCAACGCAGCTGATAAGAAAGGTGGTAAATGCCACCACAAAGATGAACTGCCTGTGAAAAAAAAAACAAGCAGGCGTGAGGGAATCATCCTTCTGCTCTGCAAAACGTGAAGCAGACAGTGTCAAGTGTCACGGAGATACAATCCCACAGCCATGGCAGCAAGAAACCTCATGGGCACCCGTTCCTCAAAGTGGAATGCAGGTTTGGGGCACGGAAAACCCTAACGAAGGGGAGACAGGACAACTATAAAGGGAGCCCTCCCACCCATCCAGCTGCAGGAGCTCAGCAAATTCCTGTGGCTGTTCCCCAGCAGCTGTCACAGCCCCAACAGAGCGGGAACCTGCACTTACATGAGTTCAAAGATCTCTCCAATGAGCATGCAGGTGAAGCCATTCTTCTGATGCAGATTATAAACGTGAAAGCTACAGTCAAGGAGAACAATCTGGAGACTCCTTCCCTCTGATGACGGAAGGAGAGGCTTCTGTCCCACTGGCACCTGCAGCTCCCCAGCCAAGTCTCCCTCCATCACCAACGGAAAACCACTCCCACCCCTATCCATCACCAAGCTGGTTCTCCACTGCAGGGAAACACACTCTGCCCAAGTAAAACACAGCTGGGATAAGAGGACTTGGCTCCATCCAAGCTCCTTTCTTTCCCCAACACCCAGAGGGGAATCTGTCCCAGTACAGAGCAGAAACTCAGCCTGCCCTCAGGCCACACAAGCGTAGTGCAGGACAACACAGAGACAGGCAAAAATGCATTTAATACCCCTAGCACCTGGGACCGGTACCCCCTGCTCCCGACCCATGGTAACGTGGTTAGCATAACTAATGCCATTTTATAAGGCAAGCAGCCATTCTCTGCGACTGAGCAGGTCACCTATTAGTTCATTTTCGTTCATTATCAGGACCTGAAGGTCCTGTGAACCTAGCAGACAAACCAAGCAGATTTATTCTTCCCCTCCCTACCGGCATCAAGATTCCTGAGTGCCAGGCTGATCACTCCCTTCCGTGCCAGCCTTGAAGGTCCCAGGCACCCAGCCAACCTGATGGTGGTGATGACCCTGTCACAGAACAGGGAAGTGTAAAAGCACACAGAGCACTGTCCACAAAATCAAGGAGTTAGAAGTCCTCAGTGGAAACCTGGACCAGAACTGATGCTGGACAGTGAGACCCAGGACACCCCAGTAGCCAGTGATGCCCCCACCATCGTCTGCTTCCTCCAAGGATTGAGTGACCTGTATTCTTTTACGTAATTTTTGAGTCTAGCTTATTATTGTTATGCTGATACAACAACCCATGTATTAAGATATGACCCGATCTGCAAAGAATCCAGGGGATTAGAAAACATAAGCTAAATAAGTTGTGCTATAAAATTCTGTACTACGCTACTTATAAAATTGTACAACATGATTCTGCTTACAGAAATCCTGTGCTACTCTGATTACAAATGCTATGCTAATAATAAAATCCTGTTAAGAAAATAAAGCTTTAATTACAACTACAACTTAGTACTGTCATCACTCTGCCAAGGTTCCCTCAAGGAACCTGTCTGTCCCCTCGGTGTTGGGCGACAGCACTCCACAGGCATGGGGGTTCTGCCATCCCCCAGCTCCTCTGGAACCGTGTTGTGTCCTACGGGAAGGGGTGGACGCTGCTGCAGCTCCGAGTTACACCAAACCCAGTGTGCCCACCAGCACTGAGACCCCAGGAGATGGCGGGGTGCATCCCACCCTGCGAAAGGATATGCGAGAGAAGAAGAGGTCCAGGTTCTCGATGTGATGCCACGGAGCTGAAGAAGAAGAAGAGCAGGGTGAGGGGTCGCGACAGGCACAACCTCACCTCTGCTGTGGAGCCGGTTTGGGGCCTCGAAGGGGGCCGGGCCCGAGCCCCCCGAGGCCCCAAACTGCTCCCACAGCCCCCATCCCCGGCTCCCTTCGGTCCCTGGCTGTTCCCACCACCCCCAGCCACCTGGATCAGCCCGGATCTGTCCCCCC